CAGATGGTGATAGAATACACATTTTTGCATTGTACCCCAGGACAACATGGCCTTCAAATGGTGTTGTAGAACTCATAAGCTTTTGAAATATTACTAACATTAATTTGAATATGTCTTTTGAAGAATTTCTGGAAACAAAGTTGGAATATACATCGAAAGATAACTGAGTAGTAGCTGTAGTGTGCTACTTCTAACATTTCCGGTGGTTGCACTAGCAGGGGGCTCTGTCTTGCTTATGAAAACTTGGACTTGAATTAAATTAATTGTAAGTGTGATGGAGGATATAAATTGGATCCCACCTGTCTCTTTGGTGGATTGCACAACTGCTTCCAGAATCCAGGACAGAAAACAAGTTGATACTCTTCCCTGTTTGTAGTTACTATTGTGAGGAGCTTAATACCTCTAGTTCTGAAATTTAAAATGTCAATTCCAGTCTATCAGTGGTATTATTTAAAGTCTATAGTTGGGCAAACGTTTTACGCAGCAGCTTTTAATCAGATTTCTAAAATGGAATTATACTGCTAATATGGAATAATTTATTCACTTGAGTCCCACTGTGGCCTTGCATTAGCTACAAGATTTGTCTAGTATACTTGGAACACTTTCCTAGTATGCCCTCTTGATTCCAGAGGGATAACTGAGCTATCATCCTTCTAAATATTTTTAGAAAAAGCAAAAATTTTGTCAGGCTTCACTTTGCTGACTTGTTAAACAAAACAAAACAAACACCAAAAAAAACCCCAAACAAAATCTAGATAAGCATTGGGAACAGAAACACCCGGAGGTGTTCTCTGCAGTAGTTTCCTACAAACAGCTTTGGCTGGATTGTAAATAGACATTACAACAGTAATTAAATTAATAAGGTTGAAAAATACTAATTTGGACTGATAAGACTATTTGTTGCAAGATTGCTGAGGCTTGATGTGACTTGATTTTCTAATTATCTAACACAGACAATAAAAGGTTTAAAAAGACTGTGGGAGCAAAGGAGTTGGCCAAAACTTCGAGTACTCAGATGAGTGGGGGAAGAGTTATGTTTTGTTTACCTTACC